TGCTTCATGTCACGATTTTTGGCGGGCAACACTAAAACCACCTGCATCACTTTTATACATTCATCTCCGTCACACATACATATACAATCTGCTCCTGTGCGAGGACGCCTTTCTTTGTAAGCTCAGAGACATACATGTGCTTTAGTTTCGTCTCGTCACCGTGGACATTTTCTCGCCAACGCATGCGAATTCCTTTCGGTTTTCGGTACTTTTAATTTCTTCGGATGGACAAGGATGGCCCAAAAGAATGGACACACCCAAATATCTCTGAAACTAAGTGTGATAGAAAAAACTTATAATACAAAAGTTTTAGGAAATCAAATGGCGCATCTACTCGTAGAGGTGTTCTTGGATTTGACGTTGACATTGGCCTCGAAGGTGATTTCAAGGTCAAATTGATTTTTTTGAATAGGAACCCCCATTTTTATTACAGAGATAGAAAGCCAAAGAAAATTCCTTTACAACGGTATGAATATAGTACTAGATAAAATTACATCTAGAGGTTATTTCAAGATCAACTGTTGCTCTTCCATGGACTATTGTAAAGCAGCGGATAGCTGGAAAAAGAAAAATATTAATGAACTTTTCATGCGAAAATTGCAAGACATCTGATGGTGACCTCCCTTCTAACCTTGGCTACGACCTTGCAGGTAAGTTCAGGGTCAAACTGATTTCTTCACATGGAAACCCTCAATTTTGATCTCAGCGCTGAAAATGGAGAACAATTTCATGCTCAAAGGTTTAATTAACCGAGATAAAATCACACCTAGAGGTTATTTCAAGGTCAAATGACCGATTTTCGCGGATTAGATTGAAGCGACCAATAATCTTTGCAATAAAAAAAAGAGATCTTGGACTTATTCTTCAAAATATTGAAGTAAAACTATTTCCGGCCAGTGAAGGCGAGACATGTTGCGGTCCAGTGTTCGGCTAGTGGAGGCGAGACAGGCTGGGTGTTTGGCCAGTGAAGGTTTTAAAGGGAAATATTGGATATTCCAAATCCCCATAGTTATTAACGAGTACTAAGGCTTGTCATTGCCCATTCTATCCCAATGCTGTGATATGGAAACTCTTAACTCATAGCCTATAGCTATTTCATCTTTCTGATTATCAACATTATCACCAGCATAAAACTAACAACAACCCTTTAGCACCAAGGCAAAGGAGCAGTAGAATTTTGACAGGGAACGCAAAAATAATAAAGTATTCTAAAAATCGAAGATATCTTGCGACTCTATATTTCAAGGCCTGTTAGAATTAGAAGCTTGACAATTTTTAATAATATATTTTTTATAACGAAAGATACCTGATGATACAAAATTGAATTAACGTCTAGGTGTGATTTTACCTTCGTTAATTAGACCTTTGAACATGAAATGCTTCTCCATTTTCAGCGCTTGGATGACAATTGGGGGCTTACATGTGTGGTTCTAATTTGACATTGAAGTGACCTAAAAAGGTTATAGCAAGGTCAGAATGAAGGTCACCATGAGATATGCCATTATAGGTCCTGCAATTTTTACATTAAAAGTTCTTTAATATTATTTTTTCAGCAATCTGCTGCTCCACAACATACCATGAAAAAGCAACAGTTTTGTTTGAAATAACCACTAGATGTAATTTTGGTCCATACGATATTTATATCTTTAAAAGGATTTGTCTTTCTATTTCTGCAACACAAAACCGGGGGTTCTCATTTGAAAATAATCAATTTGCCCTTGGAATAACTTTTTTCTGGCATCCTTAGCTTCTGAGATATTTGGATGTATTTATACTTTTCGGACACCCTGTACATATGTGTTAAAAAGATATTTTGTTTTCAAGTTACTAACGTTTCAGCGTTTTTTTTCACCTTTTCTCAGGCCAATCGAATGAGATATCGTCTTTGGCACTGGGAACCACTTCGTTATATTTGTTTCTGGACTTTACTTCGGCTTGTATGCTCTCTTCAGTGGGGTTTTGGAAGAAGGTTCTGTGTGCCTTGATCTTCTGCCGACGAGCAGTGTCGTACGATTTGTTGAACCAGCCGTTGGACCCTAGTTTAGTATTCCTTCATCCAAACGTGGAAAATTTCGTTTATTGACGAACAGACAGCCGACGCATCCGGGTCAGCGAAAAAACATCTCTCCCAGGAAAGGTGGACAAAAAGTCTATGAGCGCTTCCCAGTCGGTATGTCCGTAATGCCAAATTTTGCGTCCTGGGCGAGTTTCTGCTGCCACAGCCGGTTCTGACCGAAACCTAACCTCCAAAACACCGTGAACTGAGTTACCCAGGGGAGACAAGACAGCATCAGAGCTGTAAGGGATAGGATGCGTGGTCACAAGTACTGGCGTGTGACTAAATGCTCATCACCTTCTGGATCAGTCCTTGGTTGTTAGCGAATGCTTCAACAGCACGATCTGCTGCATTCATCTTGAACCAGAGCTCATAATGTCACCAAGGAGAACTACGTCTGATGCAGGGGGTGACTAATGTTCAGGAAGTCGATCTTGTCAGCGAGGTATTCAAGTAGGTAATCCCAGTTATGGTCCAAGGAAGAGCGATAAAGGCAGCAAATAAATTTCTTTCTATTGGGTAACAACGTTCTTTGCACTATTTGCACTCTACAATTTGACAAAGATAAAATGAGTAAATCCTCTATTCGGATAAGCACGGAAAAGTAAGATGCCGTTGTTTATACACAAGATGGCATCCTTTCCAATATAATTTAAGCTATTCGATGCTGAATGGCAGTAACCGTAGAATAGCTTTGACAGATCGCAACATAAAGCAACATATTGACGGCTACGTAAAAGCTGATTTCAAACTGACAAAGCAATACTCATGGCTACTGCTATTCGGCACAGAAGTTTGTGCTTATTGAAATTTATCTGTTTTAGATTCTTGGAAACATCCTTACAAATGTTCTTGTGCTGTTCCAGTATAAGATTGTGTTGGAGAGAGTTCTAAGTAATACATGAAGCTCTATATGTCGGTATATATTAATTTCTTGCATTATTATCTTTTTTATTTATACTATAATATCAAACCTGTATTTGGGAGGATATAGATATAAAAAGACAAAAGTGATGGAAAATTTCATGTTAATTATTATAAAATTTTAACAAACTTTTATATCTAAGTAGTTCACATTCCGAAACACTTCCTAAGACAGATCCAAGCACTCTGACAACACGTAAAAAGTTGATTAAGATTTTCGTATGAAGCAGCTTCCTGTTTGTGTATGATTTTTTTGACATCACATACTTATTTGAACAGCTTTTACAGTTATGGGTTCCATTATTTTAACCACGCTATACTGGTGTTTTGTTTTTTCTCAAGAACCCCTTGACTTTTCTCATCCTCTGCTACCAGGGCAGGCCTCAGAATTTTGTGCGCACTGACGCAAAGGATAAAACCTGCGCCCTACACATTAAGAATTTTGCGCCCCCCAAGACAATGCGCCCTGAGGCGACTGCCTAACTTATTGCTACGTGAAATAGAAAATTCGGAATAAAAACTACGGCTAGCACAAGCTAGACCCTCTGAGGAAAACGTTAGTTACGAACATGTATAACAGAGAAATTAAACAGGTCACGTCGGATCGATACCTGATCGCGCAATGCGTCCGTAATGCCAGAACTCTTACCCAGACTGGGACACCTGCCGATGATCCCAGGCAGCAGAACGGTAAATGTACGAAATATGTCTAATAGGTGTGTATAATTACCGAGGTTGGGAACGAATCGAAAAATATGATATTGCGTAACACTTTACATTTTCAAATGGAAACCCCCATTTTTTAATTTTTTAATTTTCCATGAAGTGTTTAGTGACTTTTGTATAATAAAATGTATGCCTATCTTCAATCGTTATTAAGCTATTTCAGCCTGCAATAAAATTACATACATTTTTCATAAGATGAAGCGCCGCCGCACTATGTGGCTCCAGTACGACAGTTTGAGCACCCATTTCCCGAATCAGTGGATCGGCAGACGAGACCCCATCGAGTGGCCGCCGAGATCTCCGGACCTACTTCCTTTAGATTACTTTCTTTGGAGGCTTTTGAAATGTAAAGTTTTTAGTACGAAGCCAAATTCCAATCAAGATCTTCGTCAGCAGATAACAGCTGAACGTAGACAAGTAACTCAAGACATGCTTGAAAATGTGAGGAATAGATTCGAACAAAAACTTTATTATTGCATGGCGGTAAATGGACACCACTTTCAGCACTTATTACCACATTGACCTACCTCTTTATAGCAAATTCATTTTTACTTTAACTTTAATGAATGTGAAAACTGTAAGTTGTTTTTTGTTTCAATCCTCGGAGACTTGTTTTTAATTTTAAATAAAGTCTTGTTACTATGGGAACTATAATATTGATTATTTTTACGATATAATCCTTTATTATAACACAACGATTGAAGACAGGTATAAACTTTGTTATACAAAAGTTACTAAAAAATTCATGGAAAATCTAAAAATTAAAAAAATTGGGGGTTTCCATTTGAAAATCTAAAGTGTAACGCAATATGTTATTTTTGTATCACCCTGTATTGTGCGGCTATAGATGAGAAGGTATCCCCCTAGAAATCAAAATTGAGGGGTCCAAGCGTTATTCCCAAAATATACCAGGAGAGTCACAAATGGGGTTGAGACTTTTCCATTTGTCCACCCTGTATATTATATATCATCGAAAAAGCATACCCCATTTTCGATATTTTCCGCGATTACAATACTTCCTTCAGCTTGAGAAGTAATAGATAAATAAATTATGAGTACCTGTGTGACGGAACTTTGCACCAGGCAATGTTACTGTTCTTTTAGGGAACTCAAATTCCTTATTCCTCTGTCCAATGAACAAAAAGTATGCCCTGCACACGGATATTCTACTTTATTACTTCTCCTAATCGTAATTCATTGTTAAACTTTTTCAGTAACAACTTTTGTAAACATTTATGCTGGACTGTAGTGAAATGTATGTTTTAAGACTCTGGGGAACATCGTTACGTATGTTCTTGATGATGGAACCTTTATTTGGGAGAACATAGAAATAAAAAGGGAAAGTTATCGAAAATTAAATTTTAATAAACCCTTATCTTTCACAGTCCACGTTCTAAAACATTTCCTAAGACAGTCCCATGCTCTCTGATAACCCGTAGAAAGTTGCTTAAAGTCATCGTATGAAGCATCATCTTTTTCCTGTATGATGTTTCTGGCATCACATACTTCCTTGAAGAGCTTAAACAGTTCCAGCTTGCATATTTTTAACCGCGCCACACTAGTGTTTTGTTTTTTCTTAACAACTCCTTGCCTTTTTCCATCCACTGCTACCTCTAAGCTATAAGCAATTAACAGAATATTATAAAATTTTATATTGTACGTGAAATCATTGATTAACCTATTCTACCTGAATATATACAATTATATGCTGTTTCCCGTGTCCAAAAAGGGATCTAAAAGCATTCGAGCAACATCTATGAGACACAAACGCAAAACACAAAAATGAGTTTAGAAATCTGTCTACCTTTCTTCAGATGCACATTAATCAGTGCCTTAAGATACCCAATTAAAATAGTCATTGACCTATGAGAGGTAGAGGTCTAATTCATTTTTGTGTTCTGCTACGGTCTCGTATTTGGAGCTAGGATCTTTCAAGTATTTATGGTTAGCTATTGTCGCAACAAGTACCAAAATTTAAAGCGTTCCAGTCAAGCTGGCCATATCGCAGTCTGTTATCGTGACCGCTCAACCTATCACCATCAATTAAAAAAGTCCTTTTGTTTGCTGTGTTCATTTTTCGTAATAGCTAATGTTAATGATCAGCTCAGTTCAATAAACACAAGAGTTATACAGTCAAGCAAAAGATAGCCAACTATGGACAGCTGTTTCGTGCTCTTTGGCTGTCTGTGGGTCGGGCGGATAAGAGAAGCATGTTTAGTTTATTCAATAGCCAGTAGGCCGCATGTACTGTACATCCAGAATCGTCTGCAATTTAGGGGTCACATGTAGACTGGGGTATTAAAAGCGAACTGAGAGCTTAACATTTTCAACAAATATCAGTTATGCGCTCTCCACAGTGATCGATTCAGCTGATAGATGGCACTTTGCGCTGTCTAATTTCGAGAGACCGTACCTCCTGGATAGAGGATAGTTGCGATGCTTTCGTTCGTTGTCCCAGAGACAAGAGACCGAGCCTAGACCATGCTGATAAATAGCTAAGTCATGTTTAGTGGCAAATTACTGATGACCAAAATCATAATTCATCAAAAGGCGTGAAAAACGAGTTAATCTGTATGACAAGCAAGCTCAAGTACAACATGCGCTTGAACTTCTAGATTTCGGAACACAGTATTAATTCATTTCCCAGAAAATGTGCAATTTGTTTGGTTTGAGGACTAATGATGCCGATGTTTCTGTTAAGGTACCGCTAATAAACATTCTAAAATAACTAACAAATGTCAATTGCAAATTCACTCGATAATTGGTAAGTTCAAGACAACCTTGACATGTTTCGCTCTTTCCGAAGTAATTAGCATTTCCTCCCCAAGCAACTTCAGCCTACACAGTTTAAATATTCCATAGTATTTGAGACTAGCAGACCCCGATTTTTTTACGCTCGGCCCAATAGACATTCTGATTGAAGCTGATATATTATGGGAGATTTTGAGCGATAAAACATTTTTTGGTAAAAATCTACCCAGTCTTAAGAAAAACCAAATTGAGATGGATACTATATCAGATATGATTGGCGGTGTTACCAATTCCAAACGGATCTCTTGGCATCTACCGTCTACTATCGACCCTCAAAAAATGATGACTAAATTTTGGGAAACGGAATGGCACGAGAATTTTTTCCAAGGATGAACTTGAGACAACAGGAATGAGCACGGCCGCTTTATAGTGAAGTTACCGGCCAAGCAAAGAGCGGACTCGCTTGGAATTCATGGGATCAAACGCAAAAAAACGGAGAGAAAAGTAAGTTCGAATTCAAATTTCAGGGAGTTTTATGTGAACTTTATGGAAGAGTACGAAACTATGGGACATAAAATAAAGGCTTTTACGCGAAGATAGTATCACGAAGATACTGCTAGTAATTTTTGACGCGTCCACTTCGTCTAGCAATGGGTTGATCAGTTGATAGTACCGGCCCTACAAGACGGTTTAACGAATTTACTAATAAGGTTCCGCAAGCATAGCTATGTCATGTCGGCGGACGTAGCCAACATGAATCATCAAGTTTTGGTAACTTACGGTCAAGCAACTGTTAGCGATTCGTCGTCTGTTCCAGCTAGAAAATGAATGCGAGAAATCAAAACCGGAAATAATACATCTATGTTGATGACTTGCTAGCTGGTGTAGACTAGCCGGAGCACGGCGAATTCATTTGTGAGAAATAGCACAAGTGTTGAAAAACGGTTGTTTTGAGCTAAGAAAATGGTACTACAAGCATTTCCTGAGGATGATATTTCATTGGTGCTCGAGTTCGCTCCTAATGAACAAGCCAAAACGTTAGGTATAAACTGGACATGGCAAAAGGATCCGCTAGTATACAATCTAAAAAAGATTGAAACTCCTTAGATATGGTCCAACCGTACGGTACTTTAGTTCACACCTTGTACGTAAATTCTCCCCAAAGATCGCAGCTTTTTCCTAATTTAACCTAAGCTGTATCTTCCATAGGTATTGAGATCCCTATGCATATGATCCTTATCTTGGACTACCTGTATAGGAGTTTTTGTACGTTCTGTTACAAAGGCATTATACACTTAGAGCTTATATCTTATCATCAAACTTTTTTTTACAGGCTAATGGGACAATATTGGAGCCAACCGAGAGTTGCGAATGTTTTTGACTCCAAACACCCCACTTCGGTGGCCAGTACGGAGACGCATTTAAGAGTCTCAAGCGCCATCTTAAACGACTTCTAGATACTACAGTTTTGTTATTTGAACAATTTTCGATAATTTTTTGCCAAATTGCAGCTATCTTAAACTCTCGCTCTCCCTGTCCTATTTCATCTGATCCTGATGATCTCATCCCCCTTATGCCGGACCACTCTTTCTTATCGGAAGACCATTAGTAGCTATCCCTGACGAATCCTATGAAGACATGAAATGGTTAACTCGCTTTCAACTTCAGCAGTGAGATGAAGAAACATCAGAAGCGGACCAGTAGCGAACGAAAATTAGATGAGGGTGCCTTAGTTTCATTATTATAAGAGAATAGTCCCATGTGGAGAATGGCACGCATAATTCAACTGGTATCATCAAAACTTGCTGCAGTATTGTGAAGAGAAGTTTTTCTAAAAAATGTCCGCTCCCCCAAATGATTGGTGATATGCAAAATTCATCTATTAAAAGTACAAAAAAAACAAGTGTGAGTACCTTTGTGATGGAACTCTGCACCAGATAATGCAACTGGAACAGGGTTTCCTATCATCTCTTTTAGAGAACTCAAATTCCATATCACTTTGTCCAATGAACAAAGTATGCCGTGCATACGGGAGTTCTACTGTTACTTCTCCCAGACGACCAAACAAGGCTCTTTGTAATGCCTCAATGCAAAAAGGTGTTTTCCCGGCGATCGTAAAACTGGACAGGTATAGAGGAGCTTCTAGCAAAAGGGACAGGAACGCGCCTTGTACACCTAGATGACACCATTTGGACAGTTTGTCACTACAGGAAACCGAAAGAGTTGGTACACCTCTTCCTAAAAAATATATTTGTTTTTAGTTTCTGATACAAAAATTAACAAGCACTAATTCCTAACAAAACTTTTACCTGGTTTAGTTCTGACACAACCCAGTGTATGATAAGCAGGACCCGGCAATTTTGAATCCTGTTTTTTATCAGTTGCCAAGCATTTTGCTCCAGTTCGATGGATATCCAGTTTTCTGGAATCAGAGAGTCCGTAATCATTTGCATTAATTTTTCTTCTCTTCAAAGGTATTTCACTGCTTTCCACAAGAGTTCCTGAAGCAGCACCGCTTTTTGTCGATTCTGAAAGGGTTTCATTGTCTTTTTGTGGAATCAGGTCTCCAAAATCCTCGGCATCTTGCCTTGGAAATATGGCAGCATCACCACATGGAACGTGTGTTGTGAAGAAGTGGAATTTTGTGTTCGGTTTTAGAGTGAACTTTTTGGATTGGGTATCAAAAATCAAGAGAGGACTGTCGTCTTTCTTCATTTGGTGAAATATATATCTAAAATTGCCCAAGAATAAGACTTTGATGTACACCTTTGGAATTATCTCACCTTATAAAGGCCCTTCTACATATAACTTCAGCATGAGAATCATTCAAAATATCTCCTGTTTCCAACATTTTATCTTTCCCAATACATTTGGTGCCTGTTCCTAAAGCCACAACCTCAAATGACCCACCATTTTCCAACACAATACAAGATAAAATTGTCCACTCTGTATTATTGGGCTTCCCAGTCTTAGGTAATGTCTTAAAATGTTTGAAGCATACTTGTGCTACTGTGTTGTAGAAATTCTTATCACTATTCATACTGATATTGCAACAAACAGACAAGCAAATAGATATAGCCTTACAAACTAGGTAATACGTATTTGGAGTGTCTAGGCAATAGTATTAGGGTCCCAGGCATATCTGGTTTGTTCAAAGCTGCTCAAAATTTTCAGGTCTTCATCAGGTATCACGAAATTTAAGTCGATATTTTCGTCAATGTGTTTTTTGGATCTAGCTTTAGGAATGATCGCAACGTTTTGTTGGAGAGCCCATCGTAGAAGAACCTGAAAAGTCAAAAAATCGCTCAATTTTTTCGTATCTAAAAATCAGTATTCGTCCGATAGACAAGAATTTCTGGATCCTTTATCTTCATCTGTCCAGAATATTGAGAATTAAGAAAACTATAACCAAGTGCTCTACAATTCGGCCCCAGAGTTGTGCAGTCATTGTCATACAGAGGATGAAAAGGGTAACATTGTCACTCATCTTTCTCCAAATTGCTGGTAGTATTGAGTAAAGTGTTACCATTTCACTAGTCCCTATAGAAATGGACATATCAATTTAGAGAGAATATCAGATGGATTATAAATTACTGTCAATTTCCCTCAAAATTTACCTGTGCAGGAGTTTTTCCCAACTTGTCTGCAATCTTTTTAACTCGCTGATCTGTTAGTAAGTCATTATTACCAGTTCCTCCCAATGATGAATAAGCTTGAAGAAGAACACCTTCCTTTTTACACAAATCCAGTAATTCTGGCTGATGACAATGTGGGTGCCATTCAACCTAAAAAAATCAAACTTGGTATTTCAAAGGTCAGGTTATAGAACTATATGATATTTATTATTTAATCCTTGGTAATATAGAAGATATTTTGTATGCTTGTCATAATTCGGACTAAATCCAGGGTTAGTTACTTGCTTTGTCTAGTTGCCATATATAACTTTGTTATTCCTTTTATTTACCTGATTTACAGCTGGTTTAACTCCTCCATTATTGGCTAAGAGCTCTTTCATATGCCCTACATTATAATTGGACACTCCAATATTTCTAGTCAATCGATTCTTGACCCCTTTGACCATCTGATTCCAGCTTTGCTGTCTCAGTATTTTGTTTTCTTCAGATGAAGAGTTGATACCATGAACACCAGGCCAGTGAATGAGGTAGAGGTCAATATATTCACAATCTAAATTTTTCAGTGATGTTTCTAGTGCTTTATAGGCTTTTTCATCCCCCTGGTCATGAGGTGCTAAAAAAAGCTGTGGTACAGGTCTTAAGTCTAGTCGTGGAGACAAACGAAACAGGAAACAAATAAGTGGGTATGTTCTTTTGAAAACCTCAAAACATTGTCCGCAAATAGGAGAACATCCGACGATTGCCATTGGCAAACCGTTGGTAGGTGGCCATCGTCAGATTTTCACCTATTTGCGCATAAATACATTAAAACAATATGAATTCTCGTTTAGGTTTTGACCTTACATCCTAGATACATAAATATGATAAGCTGCCACTGGATTAGCCGCCTCAATACGCCTTACAATACACTCAATAAAGGCTTCCCCAAACCAACGCGGAAAATTCGCAATACCCAAATTCAAACTAGCGCGATTTTCTTCGTTTTGGGTGCGATTTATCTGCGTATTTATCCGTACGGAAACTTAGTTCGCAATCAGATGCGTTTTTGTCGGATTTGCAGTAAGTTCGCAGCGTTATAAAGAATAGTAAGATAGTAAAGTATATCTAAATGGAGCAGATTATTTGATAATTTCGAAAGTATCCTACATTTTATGACCTTTCCCATGAAGTCTATAAAAATGTTCACAAAAAGGATAAGGTTTGGACTAAAATAAGTCAAATTGAAGCGAATAACTAAGTGAAAATGGTATTTACCATTTCGGATTTGTATTTATCGATTCGTTCAAGCGAGTGTATTCATCAGTTTGGTTATAAGGTCCGTGACGTCATCAATCTGCTGTTATATGTCATAGTGATCACCGTAAAATTGTGGTATTTACCCAACTCCGGAGTAGTTTTGTATTTCTGGCTATTGTTTAAAATGTGACAAGGTAGAATTTTGGCGGGTATTGGATATTTCTATTGTACTTCGGCTTCATTTTTGGGAAACTGGATACGGTCTGCATTCATTTTTAACATAAAGTAGAGCACCTTATTAGTTATACTCATTACTGTTGTTGGGGACACTAAATCTAGTTCCTATGCTTAAGGCGGCCCCGACGCAGTAAGTTTCAAGCCACTTACAAGGGTTCAGCTGCTTTGAAACTAACACTGTATTTTTCAATATTTTTGAATGAAATTCATACAGTATGTTGAGAAGATAATTGCCCAGGGTGCTATAGGAGCACTTTTTGTTTTTTCACAAGTTTTATGATGGGTTGAAGTGCGCACTTTTTTTGTTCTACTTCGGTCATCAAAATATGTTATGCGGTCAAAATAAGAGGAAACAGTTAGGTAGTTTTTGCAAAGCAATAAACAGGTAGGCTTATACCTGTATTAAGTACATGTCTTGTCTACTGTAATCGGTAGATGGAGGTGATGCTGTCAGAAATGGATGTGTGCGATCAATAAACAAACGACAAGATTGAACTGCCGGGTCCCATGATTATTGTATTGCCTTTTTTTATTGCCTTACTACAGTATATTCAGATAAGAGATAGACCGGATGTAAACAAAAGGTTCGGGTGATTTTCACGCTAACGCCGCCGTCTCGACGTAAAACAGGAGCCCTCATTGGTCAATTCGCAATTAAATGCCTATGCCGAGCGGCAGAGCAGTAGTATCAAGGCAGAGTCACATTCAGGTTCAGACGTGTTACGTATGTCGTGTGCATCATTGCAATTTGATATTTCTTTGGACGTTTTCGTTTGTTATCTTATTAAGTTGTTGAGTTTGTCGTTGTTATTGTTATACCTTGTTATTGATTGTTATTGTTATCAACTGCTTGCGCAAAATGCCCAGTAGTACAGATACTGCCGATGAAGTTGTAAACTCCTGTAGTCCACCTAGGAAACGCTCTAAAAAAAGACACCTGAGTGCAGAAATGAAAGAGGTCATTTTGAATATATATAAGATCGAGCGCGAGGAGAACGAGGCATCAACCATCAAAGAAATTATTGTGAAGGTTTCTCACAAAGTTGGGGTGTGTCGCGCATCAGTGTTTAATGTGTTAAGACAATACAAAAAAATCACACCTTTTCTGAGCCAATGACCAGTAAACATCGCAAAAGTATTGTTAAATCATTGGATGAAGCTGATAAGCATGCGATTAGGAGGAAAGTGCATGAATTCTTCTTTAGGAATGAAATACCTACTATAGAGTATAAGTACTGCAGGAGGTAAATGGAGATGCAACGTTGCCAAATTTCAAACGATCAACTTTCCATGCGTTACTGAAGCATTTAAATTTCAAATGGAAAAAACGGGGTCGTAATAGTTTACTACTGGATAGAGAAGAAATTGTGCTATGGAGGAGGGATTATTTAACAAAAATTGGGAAATATAGAAATCGAAACAGGAAGATTTATTACCCTGATGAAACGTGGGTAAACGCAGGACACACTACAAGTAAAGTATGGGTTGATGATTCTGTAACTTCATCCAGGAGGGCCTTTCTAGATGGACTGTCCACCGGATTAAAAAATCCAGCAGGTAAATACGAGTAATAGACAACAATCGGATGTTTTTCAAACCTTGGGAACAAGGTTCTAAACATTAATTCCAGGGGGCAGATAAAACATATTACAAGTAACAAAACTCTTATAACTTTCGATAAAATGCGTGGATGTTTTATTGTCATTTTCATTTGTTAGAACTTTTTTAAGCCATCTTTTTATGTGTTTTCGATATTTCAATAATTTTTTAATATAATCTTAAAATATGTCGAATATTATAAACTTAAAAAAAGTTACTAAGTTTTATATTGTGTACCGTTCTTATATTTCTAATCATTTTAATTCATACTTTAAGCTTTATAAAGTTATAATTTGTTAATATTAATATTTGCGCGTATTTCAGGTTCCTGATCATTCATTTTTTAAAGGTTTATAACTTTAAATTAAATTGTGAAGCGCTGAGTAATCATACTACGTTCAATATTCTTTCTTTCAATATGACTAAATAATCCCAATTATAGCAATCTGATACTCATGTCTCAATGTTTTTTCGCTGAATGTGATGAAAACATTTGAAAAAGGTTCGCTTATTGAAATAAATCTACACCAGTTAGTACTTCGATTTCCAGGTAAAGGGAAAAGGCTCATTATCTGCCATATTGGCAGTGAGGATGGATTTGTTGTTGACGGTCTGTGGTGCTTTGAGTCTAAGGAAACTGGAGATTACCACGAGGAAATGAATGGCGAATCGTTTGAACAGTGGTTTTCAAAAATTTTACCGAACTTAGAGGAAAACGCAGTAATTGTGTTGGATAATGCGCCTTATCATTCTCGAAGAATGGAGAAGGTCCCAACAACGGCTTCAAGGAAAGTTGATGTTCAAAATTGGCTCCGCTTTGAAGAAGCAATGCTGAAAGTACAGTTATTAAGAATTGTCAAGGATCACAAGGCGGAATATCAAAAATACGCCATTGACGAAATGGCAGCAAGTCAAAATAAAACTGTGCTCCGTTTACCTCCATACCATTGCGAGCTCAATCCCATTGAGCTCATATGGGCAGAGGTTAAAAATTATGTAGCTAAACACAATACAACTTTTAAATTTTGTGACCTCAAAGGACTTTTCAAAGAAGCACTAGAATTAATAACAGCGCAAAAATGGGAAAACTGTATTAAGCACATGAAAAACAAAGTGTTGAAAAGAGAATGTGGGAACTGGACAATATTTTAGAGGAACAAGTCGAGCCATTCATTATTGACGTTGGTGCTTCAGGCAGTAGCGATGATGAAAGCTCATCAAGCTCATCTTTCCAATAAAAGATGTCGTTCATCAAATTCGGTAAGTTATAAGTAATTATAAAGCTACTGTATTTTTTAATTAATTATTGACATTTTTGAACCCATTTTGGCAAAACCTATTCAAGAATCTACTTTCTGACAATGTTCAACCATGCACATTTTTTTACGTTTTGTACGTTTTAATTTGGTTACATATTTACCTAGAAATCAAAAAATATACTAATCAATATTCTAAAAGCAATTTTAAGAGATATCCGATTATTTTTAATTTAGGCTAATTAAAACGCCATTTTGAGATTATATTCGACTGTATTTCACCAAACATCAGGCGGCATCCGAAGCTGGAAATCGAAGCGAAAATTTTGAAAACTTTATGTATATTTACATCATTATATATTTCTTACCCCACCCCCACATGATCCTATATCCATCACCAATCGTATACACATCGAATTGTGCTAATTTACTACAAAGTTACGCAAAGCAGCATCTACTATCTAAAATATGTACTGCGTGACTCTTAATACGTCCCTGCCGCATGTTACAGCGTTCGATGATCACGTGGTCTTGTTTATGTCCGGTCTATCTCTTATCTGAATATACTGTAGAAAACTCTGTTGGGTATGTGATGGTGTTTACTAGAACTTTACAGCTTGCTGTCTGCCTTCTTCTACAAAATTCACCAAATCGAGACGCTGTTAACCTCAACCTCCGATAAAAACGCCACAAAGTACAGTCCTGTGATTTGGTGCCTTGTTCGATCTGCAAAATCTCGTCGTCACTTTTTCTAAGTTTCCCTGAAAATTCTTGCTTAGCAACCTCCAAATCAATGTCGGTCATGTCAGGTTTTTGTCAGAATTCGCCATAAAACTATTCATTTTCTTTGGAATTGCTATTCGAATTGTTAGTTATTTTTATATCAGCTTTTTTTGGTCTGAGTTTCATTTCAAGATTCTTGCGTTTGAGTCTTTGTTCCATCTTAGTGATATGCGAGGTTGGATTAAGCTTAGAACGCAAATTTATTTGGACCAAATAGACAGACAGCTCGGTATTGTGGCTCACTACAGCTGCAGCACATCTTCCATGGTATGACCTATTCTTGCAATAATTTATTCGCTTACCCCAATGTATTTTGCGATTATAGAGTTGAACTGCTCCACACTATTGTTGTCCTCATCATGAATTAAACTCACTGCATTGGTAATTAAAATTGTCGCATATGACCTTTTATTGTCCATTATCAACCTTGATAAAAAAAGGCACTCAAGAACAATCACACCCACAAGAGTACAGCACAACAATTCAACAACACAATATCGACGAACAGTAACAAGGGTAGAACAATACTAAATGATCACTTGCTGAGTACCAAAATAGGAAACGATTTACAGGCTAGATCGCTAATCGAAATCCGACTCTGTTATTATAAAAATTTACCTCGGTATGCACCCGCAGTCATCCTTTCCTCTTTTAAAGTAGCGCCGACGAGCGTCTCAGGCCAGCCTACCCTCGTTTCCTTTTCACCCACCTGTTACCTCAGCAGATGGTGCTCGTGATTATAGGAGCCCCATTAACAAAGTATATTGTGTAGCCATATACCACAAGAATGTTAAAACATGGCGATGGAAAATCACTGGATACTGATAGATTTATGTGTCCTTATTTTTTATTAATTATTTAAATTGTATACAGTTTTGCTAATATCTTTTTTTCATCACCTTTTCCTGTCATTTCTGCCAAATCGATAAATGTTTTCTTCGACATGCAGAGAAGTTTAAGGAATATTGAAAGTTATCATAGCTAAGCCATGGTTCCTCCATTGAAATTTTTGGCGTCATATCTTTTATTTTCACGACAAACTTGTTTAAAGATAAAAGAGATTTTCTCAAGTGATTTAACTCCCGAAAAATTTCTCCCATAATTATTATGGAAGTTTTCTATTTTAAACTTTCCATATCGCTGATGTAGACGAAAAAGTACTGATTATTAAGCTATAATAAAAATAATCAGAAATTATATACGTACTTTTCTGAAATAAACTTGCAACAAAATCGCTTAAAACCATCCGCTCAAGCTATTCGAGCAAGTGAGTTTAATCAAAATCAAGCGGATAACCAAATTAAAATGGTATTTACCATTTTGGGTTGATATTATTTACCGATCCGTTCAAGCGAGTGTGGTTATCAGTTTAGTTATAAGATCCGTGACGTCATGAATCAGCTGTCATATGCCATAGTTATCACCGCAAAGTTGTGGTATTTACCCAACTCAGGAGTAGTTTTATATTTCTGGTTATTATTTGAAATGTGACAAGTTAGAATTTTGCCAGGTATTGGATATTGTTATTGTACTTCAGCTTCATTTTTGGGAAACTTGATACAGGCTGACTTCAGTTTTACCATAAAGTGGAGCACTTTATTAGTTATACTCATTACTGTTGTTGGGGACACTTTAAATGAAGTTCCTATGCTTAAGAAAGTATCCTGTGTAGCCATATACCACAAGAATACTAAAATATGGCCTAATAAACTCACTAGATGATGTCCACCTGTAAACAGTTTTGCTAATATCTTTTTTCATCGCTTTTTCATAATTTCTGCTGAATCAATAAATGTTTTCTTTGACATGCAGAAAACTTTAGAGAATTGAAAATTGTCATAGCTACAAACCCATGGTTCCATCATTAAAAAAAAAATCTGAAAAGAAAAACATTTCTCCCATGAATTATATGAAAGGTTTCTTTTTAAACTTTCCATACACCGTTGTACACGAAAAAGCACCGATTATTAAGTGATAATAAAAATAATCAGAGATTATATACGCGCTTTTCTAAAATAAACAACTTGCAACAAAACCGCGGTTAAAACCAACGCGTTCAAGCGATTCGAGCAACTGACGTCATCAATCCGTGTGTCATCTTGAACCATATTATAACCGGAGTACATAACACAGAAATTTTGGTTATTCGCTTGGATTTGATTATCAACTCGTGCGTCATCTTAAACCACATTATAACCACGGTAAATAACAGAAATTTTGGTTATTCGCTTGAATTTGATTCATATTTGATTATACATAAATCAAATCCAAGCGAATAACCAAAATTTCTGTGTTATGTGCCGCGGTTATAATATGGTTCAAGATGACACACGGGTTGATGACGTCAGTTAGACGAATCGCTTGAACGCGTTGGTTTCAACCGCGGTTTTGTTGCACGTTGTTTATTTTAGAAAAGCGCGTATATAATCTCTGATTATTTTTATTATCACTTAATAATCGGTGCTTTTTCGTCTACAACTGTATATGGAAAGTTTAAATAAGAAACCTTTCATAATATTCATGGGAGAAATGTTTTTTCAGATTTTTTTTTTATGATGGAACCATGGCTTTATAGCTATGATAACTTTCAATTCTCTAAATTTTTCCGCATTTCAAAGAAAACATTTATTGATTCAGTAGAAATGATGAAAAAAGAAATTAGCAAAACCGTATACAGGTGGATATCATCTAGTGAGTTTATATGGCCATATTTTAATATTGTTGTGATATATGGCTACACATGGTACTTTGTTATGCATTGGAACTACATTTAAAGTGTCCCCAACAACCGTAATGAGTATAACTAATAAGGTGCTCCACTTTGTGGTGAAACTGAAGTCGGGCTGTATCATTTTTCTCAAAAATGAAGCTGAAGTACAATAACAATATCCAATACCCGGCAAAATTCTAACTTGTCACATTTTAAATAATAACCAGAAATATAAAACTACTCTTGAGTTGGGTCAATACCACAATTTTGCGGTGATAACTATGACATATAACAGCTGATTCGTGACGTCACGGATCGTATAACCAAACTGATAACTACACTCGATTGAACGGATTGGTAAATACCAACCCAAAATGGTAAATACCATTTCCATTTGGTTATCCCCTTGAATTTGATTATAGTATGTTTTCGCTCTGCGTTTTCCTTCGTCTATGACTGACAAACTGCCAAGCAACAGTGATGCCAGATTTTTAAATATATGAGGTAAAACGGGGACAACATGCAAAATAAAATTATCCTTACCAAGTTTTGTGGTGATAAATATGTCTTTTCTTGTCAAATTATACTTTGGCAAGAGTTCTTTCAATGCAACGCCGATGTCTTTTTCATTTCCATAGACTGCAGCAGAATCTAAAATAATTTCACATATTTTTGTGTTAATAACTAGTTTAAAATTTATTCAAGGATATTGGTTTACATTTACCTATAAGACGGTATCCTGCAGCAAGTGCATTATCCAGAACACTTTTAATCAAATCTGCTCCACGTACTTGATAAGTTCCAACTAAAAATTAATTTTGGAGGTTATAAAAGCACATTGACCATAACCCTGTCATTCTTAATCAAAACAAACAATTAATGATTAAAAATACAGCAAAACAAAGAGGCTTACATCCAACCATAGGCATCAAATCGCCACTAGGTAATTTAAAATTCATATCTTTCGCTACAATCTGTTCACTTTTCATCTCAGTGATTTTTGTTGACGTAAACAATAACACCACACCGAAAATATGGTGAAAGTTTGGACACATTTTGATCATTTTGACGGTTACGCGAGATGATTCTGGCCGAAGGACCAATGCAGAACTTGATGAATTTCAAGCCTTGTTTCTCTATTTATTCTTACTTATCTTGCATCAGAGGAGAATAACACTAGCGAAGGTTATCCAGTTAATTTGCATAACTTTAATTACAAGAATTATTACTACTTGTAGGAACGGATAAACAATAAAGAATACAAAAAATATATTGCATCCTAAAGCTTGTTGTGCTAGGTTCTGGGACTTTAAATTTATTATTATGGTAATCATTTATTAATTGCAGGTATACCTACCTATAAGTTCAAGTGCATATGAAAGTTATAAGATTCTATTTAAATAAAGCTGCATTTGAAACAAATCTTTATTTAATTATGGTACATAGGATATTAACAGTTTGTAATTCATGGAAAAAAATTAATCGTGTAACAATAACTCTCTAGAATCATCTTCAAGACTAGTTAGCTCTTATTTGTTATTAGAAAACAAAAAATATTCCAAGAATTTGGCACTTGAATTCACTGATTCCACCTTTTTGGTATCGTTTGGAGTATTCAAAAAAGTTTTAAATCCAAACAATTTTCATAAAAGTCTAGTTCAGCTTCAATCAAATCTGGTAAAGAAGTTATTTAATAAACCAAACATCCTTTACACAAAAAGCAATTTATTGGCATCAGTAATAAGACAAAATTCAAAATATACATTATTTTTACAATAAGCAATGCAGTAAGACAAAAGATATCTATAATTTGATTTTTTACCTCATTTTTTAAATATGCCCACATTTGATCACGAGACATACCTATTTTGTCCTTGTTTTTTGGAATGTGCCCTTATAAAGCAGCCTGTAGACGTTCAATATTATTGTGCAATATTTTGGTTTGTGCAATATAATTGATTGTATGTGGGCAATATTGAAAGATTGTGCAATATCGTCGGCTTAATCGGCAAAATGCGTATGTCCGTTTCTATAAATTTTACAGGAGACACAAAAAACGTCATCAGATTGAACTGTAGTATTTTTCACAAGAATGACTGTGTTAAACGATCAGAAAGTGTCTTGTAGCAGCTAAAAACTATATGCTTGGACAATATTTTAGCATAGATCATTTACTATGATAAAAAAAAGGAGATAGGCAGTTTTCTTTTTTATATTCAGCCAAAAACCTGGAGATAGGGGTTCCTCATATGGGATATTTGAACAGTAACAAATGAAGCTACTCAGGAAAAATACAATTTTTATTCATAAAAATATAAACATAATTCAGATTGTGCTTAATAGAGCGGCTTAAGGAAGAAAACACATGTATTCATAAAAGTAAAACAAAATCGGATTGTGCTTATCTACGATTTATTCAATCATGGGGTAAATTATCATAGAAGGCATGATAATCGACTTCCATGGTTGCCTTTAGACTTTGAAGGTGTTTATACTTTTCTGCCTTAATTTTTATCCTATTTCTATAGAGTTTGGGTAAGTCGTTTGCATCATTGGTGGCGTTGTTAGTCTTTGTGTTTAGCCTGACTGGAAGAATTTGCCATTTTTGATCAGAGTGATTGAGTTTGAAAAACACTCCCTCATGAGAGTATCTCAATGCTCTAATATCGTTTACCAATGGTGCACCAGCAGATCTTCCGGGTCTGATAGAATTAAAATATTTCAGCTCATCGTATTTTTTGAAGAAATCGTGCATTAGGTACTCAACTCTATAAGGAGCCTTTTGACATGCCGTTTTGCAGATGTAGACGTAGTCTGCTGGAATATTGATTTTCTTATTTCGGGTTTTCCTTTCAATTACAGAATGGACACTGTCCACTTCCATTTGGGTATGTCCTTTCTGCAAATACTTTTGCACAATAGTAACTCCCCTCTCCAATGTGAGATTGTATAGGCCATTTGCCAATGTGGCGTTCCTATTTTGATAACCACAACCATCGCTCCATAATATAATTTGAATATCACTACGATTTTGTAATCCAAACTGATCGATATGTCTTTCTAAAAAATGTAGATATTATTATGCTTGTGAACTCATCACTAGTTAGTCCTCCTTCCGCTTCATTCCATAAATAACAGTAGCCCTGATTGCGCTTGATGTCATAGAGGGTGAAGTTGTGGACAATCAGCTTAGTTTTATAATACAGTGCACACGTGTTTGATTTTGGGGATAGCAAAACGGATTGAAGGTCCATTGTAAAAACTTCGTTTGGAGACTCTTTATCTACGGTCTTTGCAGTTCTTGCTGCATTTTTGAATGCAATGTGTTCATTGTACTTATCTTCTGTTAAATTGCCCGTCTCAAAAGCAACACAAGTGTCACATAGATCTTTTTTTGGTTTATAGAGTGATAGTCGTTTTTTGTCGAATTCTTTATGGAATGTTGCAATCGATACAGGTTCAACGTTATGTGTAGTACAGTAGTCGCTTTTGTAAATTTTATATAAGTGAGCCTTAGAATTCCAAGTTGGCTCTAAATAGAGCTTGGATGTGGAAGCCCTGCAATAGTGCGATTCCAGCTTCGGTAGACAGTCGAAAAAGTCATGCAGCGAACGAGTAGGTGCAGTAGTACTGTCACGTATTTTATTCGGCTGTACATTATCTTCATCCTTTCTATAACCATTTTCCAAGTTACTTTTGGCCCATTTTTTTATAACCCACTCTTTTACTCCTAACGTATTAAGAAACATCGTTCTACAAACCCTTAGTCTGTCCTTGCCCAAAAAGAATCTGTTTGAATAAGATCTTCTTGAAACGTCCCTAATTCCCCGTTTTCTTATAGTATAATTTATGGAAACGTGATTTTTTACGAAAACCCTCTTTTCTGCCCAAGTGTATTGCCAAAATTCCTTAAAAATGTTTTTTCTCTCATTTTCAGTCAATTCTCTACATTTTAAAACAGATTTTTGATTGTTACTTAGTTTACAACGACATACATCCTTTAGTGATCTCGGTTCCTTTAAAATGTCATATTTCCACATCCCATTTTCCTTTTTTTTCCCTACGTATGATTCTCCCTTTTCTCTTTTAATTCGATTCTTGTTTTCATGCCATTTATTTTTGTTTACTTCATACTTTGTTGAACGCTTCCGACGGGGTCCTTCGTCTTCTAATATCTTATCCGATAGTTTAGTACAAGGCGTATGATCAGACTCATCTAAGTCGGAGCTCTCACAATCTTCTACAGTTAGATTTTCAATAATAGTGGATTGTACTCCTGAACAGGAAGGTATTTAATCGAAAATGGAATCACGTTGGCCAATTTCAACAATACTCAACTGAATTGGAGCCACAGCTTCATCTTAAAAAAGTTAGATGGTCAGAAATAAATATAAAGAATCTCATTTAAGGCTCTTACCACTTGCGTCTTCCATCATCATTCTGACTTCTCCATCAACTACAAAATCGCTAATTTGTGCGTCTACAAATTCACTATTGCACTCGCTAGCACTTTGCGCTTCTACTGAATCCACATTTCCAACAGCACTGTAGTCTTCGCCTGAAAAACGACCGAACGTAAGACTAAAAAGTGGTCAGATTATCTGTTAATCAATCAATTAACAATCTTCAAAGATTTCGCAGGTTATTTGGAATTAATACAATGGACACGTTCCATTTATAATAAAGCACGAACTGCAAAGACTGTAGATAAAAAGTCACCAAACGCCGCATAAAACGCAACAATGTTTACTGTTATATTTGGAATGAATCACCTGGTACTCAATTCTTACATTATTAGCTATGAATTTACTATTGTGCAAAAGTACTTACGAAAAGGTCATACAATATTGGGAAGGTCTTATTAGTGCTTACCAGCAGCGTCTGAAAATATTATTTCAGCATCCTGAATAGCCTTTGATAGGTCGTAGTTATTATTTTTTTCATTTACTTTTTCATAGCTGGTAGTAGACTTCAACGCTTCGAAGATTCTGTCAATTCGTCTCGCCATAATCTAGAAAAAAAAAATGTCCCTTCTTAATGATTGAAAATAAAAATACGTATCTCCTATACAACCAAATATCTACTTTAAAAATATATTATGGGAAATATGCGTAACTCCCTGAAATACAAAGTTTAACTCATATCACCTTGTATAATTATAATTATCATTAAAAAATACTGATTCTAATAATCTGGAAGTTGTACTTACCTTTCAAAAGCCCTTTATGGAAATATAGATTCCACTATCACTTGCACCAAGCTGTAAATTCGCAGATGCACGTGTTCACCGTAAGCGTTATTACACGTTCTGGGATTTACGCATTTTGCCGACTGAAATTGGCGGGAACGGATATAGGCCGTTTTCTACTTTGCGTATTACAAAGAAACGAATAAAGCTTTGGATATAGGCTGTTTTCCTAAAGATGGGTTGTACTATTTACTACTAGATGGCACCAAAATGTCATTTTCTCAAAAATGTGGAGTTACGCATTTTGCCGATTAAGTCGACGATATATTGTGTGGTTTTTAAAGTCGTGAAAATATATTGTGCAAACGGAAATATATTGTGCGTCTGTCGGCAAAGTTGCGCAATATCCCATCAGTTGGTTTCAATTCATTCGAATGAGGAGTTCATTAAATAATTTTCCGTCCATTCGTCAAAAGTTGAGGAAATCATTTAGTTCAACTAATCTCAGTTCATTGAGTAATTTTTCGTGGGAGTACTTTTTCCTATCCATAAACCTGAGCTCTTTTTCTTTTCTTCTTTTGCACTTGCGGTCACAGCAATTACCACGCAATACAAGTCACTTTCACGCAACATGTTAAGTGCATGAAATTCTGACAATGTGATTGTACGTCTATGCTCCCGATTGCGCCATATATCTATTATACAACCTTCAATATCGCCTCCATACAGTACAATCTTTCGTACAAACCAAAATATTGTATAATATTGACTATGGGTCACCGTCAAAATATTGTGCAAGCCACATTGCACAATAGTATTGAATGTCTACAGGCTGCTTAAGGGTAAATAGGTATAGATAGTATGTTTTACCCTTTTTTACTATTTAAAAGAAGAAATAATAATAATAGCGTTTATTTGCAGAGCAAAAAAATACAAAGAGAAAAAATTAAAAATGAAGAAACAACATGAATTCCCTGCAAAAGGGACTAGTAAACAGACGAGCTGATCAAAGTACTAGCCCAACAAACAAAATTACAACAGAGGAGTTCTTAACCAAATTATATAAGCTAATATTAATAAATAATAATTACAGACGTCAAAAAAATATATGTATATAAGGAAATTATATAAAAAATGTAATTTAAACGAAAAAGCTCACATCATTATATTCAAATTTAACAAAGCATTTAAAATATACAAAGTAAAGGAAATGTGAGGAATAATTTTAAATGAAGACATATTACAGTAGGATCAGCTCAAATTGAAAATAAATAAAAAACGACAAAGTAAGGTACCAATAAATATTTCAACACATTGATAATTCAAACATTGAAATACCATTTAATACGTAATTACGAAATCACTTTGCTCAACACTACTACAAAGCATGAAACAGCAACTTTTAGAATCGTGATTCACAAATCACCGTTTCAGAAATCGGAACTTTGAGGTTAGGTTGTCAAAACATTTTCATATTTTCAAAATACAAACAAATCTATTATATATTATTATTATTCTTCGAAAAGACGGCAGTGGTTGCAACGCATAGAGTTAAAAAAAATTGTACCAGTTCAGACTAATAAAGTTAAACCAGAAGCAATAACCATGGACGACATCAAAATAGAGGAGCTGAATTTATACGAAATATTAGAAGTAGATATCAAAAGCACTACAAATGAGGTACGTAGAAGCTCTTATGCACTTGATTAAATTGCATTGAATTCAAAATTTACCTTTCATTACGAATACGTTTCAAAGTTGCAATATGTTCATAAACTGATGCCAATTTTCTATTATAGATAAAAAAAGCATACAGGAAAAAAGCTCTTCAATGCCATCCAGACAAAAATCCAGACGATCCTAGTGCAGGAAAAAAATTCCACCAGCTGTCAAAAATACTAGAAATTTTAACTGATGAAGCTGCCCGCTGTGCTTATGATAAAGTATTTAAAGGTAAACAAGAGGCAGCTTTAAGGCATAAGGAACTAGATAGTAAAAGAAGAAAATTGAAAGAAGACTTGGAAGATAGAGAAAGAAAGGCTGCTGGTAAAGGAGTTAGTGAGAAAACCGCAGATCAAAAATTAAAGGTATTTCTCAAATAGATATACAAAATTATTTCCTTATAGTTAAGGGGTTGGCTTGTTAGCCCTAATGCCAAAGTGACCCATATGGATCTATTTTGACCCTCTTATACACTGTCTAAATCACTGTGTCCAGCCTTGATCCTTTAATCAGACTCCATAGCCTTGACACAGAGCTCTACATGTAGCTTTCCACTGTTGGTTCAGTGATTCCTAATAACTGAAGATGTAGCCTTACTTGGCCATTGCAGTGACACAGGCAGTGCACTGAGGTTTCCTCATGCTCTCTGCAAAAATGGCTTGTGGCCTCTTCTGCTAGGCCCAAGAACCTTACATGTCAATTTAGGCAACAGTGTCCTGTTAGGAGACCTTTTTATGGCCTTCCCATTAAATCTAAGTAGGTCCTCTGTAAATGCAGGCTTTCATTCTTTGAAGTCCACTGGCTGTACCACCATTCTAGGGACTTTTTCTTGTTCCATTTCTTATGGACTGTTTGATGCATGGTCTCGCCATGCCACAGAAAGGATCTGTGGCCATATTTTTGAAATTGCATGGTGGTATATGAAAAGATAGCAAATGACAGCTTATCACATATAACACATTGTTGTAGTGAGTTGAGATTATCAAGACTCACCTGTCATTTTGGATGTATGTCTTTAAATGAATGATATATACTGGGGGGTTTTGATGTGTAGTTCTGTAAAACAATATTATATTGGAACATTAAATTAACCTGAAGTACCTGCTGGCGTATTCAGGAACATCAAAATACTATGAAATGCTTCTAGATACCCCGATTTTGAGTTTCACCACCAGCCACTTATTGACCCTCATTAAAACAATTAAGTTTTTACTTGAAACTGGGCCACTACTTATGGAATTCAAACCTATACAGCTAGATGGAGCCATGTGGAGATAAAAAAGATTTCCAATAATGCATCAAAATCTAAACACATAGCCATTAACAAATTATTAGTGGTACTTAGCTTTGGAGATATTATTGACAATTCCTTTTTCCTGTTCGTCATTGTTATAGTAACTATATTTATTAGACAATCCAAGAACATATCAAGGCATTCAATGAGGTTAAAAAAAAACAATTAAAATTGGAATTTCGTCCAAAATTCGGGTATCAGTAATTGGCTAAAATTTCAAAAATACCAAATTTTGTAACACAACATATTAAATATCTTATACAATGAATTCGAATAGATTAGAAGGAGCAACTCCTAAATGCTTACATTGCTTTGTTCATCACCAAAACTGCCTAGTTTTAGTGCATACTTTTGAATACCAATACAAGAGTTATTTGATCAACATAATAACAATAATATTAATACTTAGCAGTGGAAACATCATAGTTCATTAGTCTTGTGCCAGTCTTTGCAAATGATATAAGAAGTACCATGTCCTGAAACACCACAATTATTTTCTGGAAACACTCGCATTTTGAAAAAAATGACACTAAAAAACCTGTCAAGTCATGTCAAGTGCCCTTAGATCCTTACTATAGACTATGAGAATTAGGAGACAAACAGGTCCCTGACGCTCCTTCTACCTAGCCTGAATTAGTTGATCATAGTTTTATCACTGATTTTTATTGGCTGATCCCTTACCATTTCTGAATGTTTTCTAGATAAGAAATAATATTGATTGTTTTTATAAATTACTTTTCTGATTCCAGGAAGAAATAGAAAGGCTCAGGAAAGAAGGTTCCAAACAAGTAGAAGAAGAGATAGAATACATAAGGCGAAAGATTCAAGAAGAGCAAGAACAGTCAGCAAATTTTTCAGATGGTACAAAGTATAGGATAAAAATTAAATGGCCTGCTAGTAAAGGTGATTCCACAAATGGTGGTTATACACAGGAAATGCTTCATAAATTTTTATCAAAGGTAAATATTTACCCGCTTCTAACATACATTGCAAATTTTTGCATTTGAAAATTTGACTTATAATCAATTATTTTTTTTCAGTATGGAGATGTTCAAGCTTTAGTAATGTCACCAAAGAAAGCTGGGAGTGCTTTGGTTGAATTTAAAGACAGAAAAGCAGCAGAAATGGCTGTTGATTTTGAAAAAGGTTTGGCTACAAATCCACTCACTTTGGAGTGGATAGGTGCTCCTCCTAAGAGCACAAACAGGCCTACCAGCAATTTAGTAAAGGATTCAGACTTTGAGAGTGTCACATTCATGAAATTGAGGCAGGCAGAAGAAAGGAAGAGGCTCATAGCACAGATGATGGCTGAAGATGAAGAAACATGAAAACATTTCTGTATACTGTAAATATTCATTAATAAAACTAATATATGTAAATATCAAATAATAAAATATTCATTAAAACAATCACACTATCCATTATGTTCAAAGTGAAACAGTGAATGATCGAATTTGCAACTCAATATTAGATGGAGCTGTAAATATTTTTCACATAAAATGGAGAAATAATCCTCAAGGACAAAAATACCATCAAATGCACGCTTCAAGGATAAAGCGGCTGAATCTGCTGATCCCTTTTTAAAAAATATGCAGGCGCCAGTGGATGATGTGAAAAGGAACAGACACGGAATCAAATCCAAGCGAATAACCAAAATTTCTGTGTCATGTGCCGCGGTTATAATAGGGTTGATGACGTCAGTTACACGAATCGCTTGAACGCGTTGGTTTTGACCGCGGTTTTGTTGCAAGTTGTTTATTTTAGAAAAGTGCGTATACAATCTCTGATTGTTTTTATTATCACTTAATAATCGGTGCTTTTTTGTCTACAACGGTGTATGGAAAGTTTAAATAAGAAACCTTTCATAATATTCATAGGAGAAATGTTTATCCAGATTTTTTTTAATGATGGAAGCATGGTTTTGTAGCTATGATAACTTTCAATTCTCTAAAGTTTTCCGCATGTCAAAGAAAACATTTATTGATTTAGCACAAATGATGAAAAAAAGATAGCAAAACCGTATACAGGTGGACATCATCCAGTGAGTTAAATGGCCATATTTTAATATTCTTGTGGTATATGGCTACACAGGATACTTTGTTAAACATAGGAACTAGATTGAAAGTGTTCCCAACAACAGTAATGAGTATAGCTAATAAGGTGCTCCACTTTATGCTAACACTGAAGTCAGCCTGTATCAAGTTTCCCAAAAATGAAGCTGAAGTACAATAACAATATCCGGCAAAATTCTAACTTCTAACATTTCAAATAACCATGGCTTTGTAGATATCATTAAAAAAAAATCTGAAAAAAACATTTCTCCCATGAATATTATGAAAGGTTTCTTATTTAAACTTTCCATATACAGTTGTAGACGAAAAAGCACCTATTATTAAGTGATAATAAAAATAATCAGAGATTATAAACGCGCTTTTCTAAAATAAACAACTTGCAACAAAACCGCGGTTAAAACCAAAGCGTTCAAGCGATTCGTGTAACTGACGTCATCAACCCATGTGTCATCTTGAACCATATTATAACCGCGGCACATAACAGAGAAATTTTGGTTATTCGCTTGGATTTGATTTCTTACTCTTGAGTTGGGTAAATATCACAATTTTGGGGTGATAATTATGACATATAACAGCTGATTCGTGACGTCACGGATCGTATAACCAAACTGATAACTACACTCGCTTGAAGGGATTGCTAAATACCAACCCAAACTGGTAAATACCATTTCCATTTGGTTATCCGCTTGAATTTGATTAGTGCATTTTGACGCTTGTCATCTGACTAGTGTCAACCCCGGTCAAATGTTATGTCAATTGTCAATTTGGTTTTGACAGTTTGGTGATTTGGAGAGTAGATTTGTGGAATTTGTAGTTTTTATCTCGTATATCTTGAAAAATAAATCAAAACCTCAGTTATGAACAGTATAAGTCCAACGACTGGTAAGCCTATAGTAATATTTAAAATCCGTATTTAATTAATATAGTTAACAGCATAATCATATACATAAAAGTAATCTACACCTCCAGATTTGTCCGACAGGCTTTTTTAATCGGCATTTAGCCGTAAAAAACTTCATTTCACACGTATGAACTAAGAAATGGTAGGGAATACTAGAAGCTAAGCGCTCTTTTGAACGTTAGGAATTCGCCAACGAATCATATGACCCCACGCTTGGAGCAAACTGTAAAAAAACAGCCTAATCTTTTCTGTTTGTGGTAATATAGCCGTATTTTTTTTCCAGTTTCTTGTATTTTTGGTTGCATAAGTTCCTCTCGATTCTTTTGCCAACAACTTCGAGCTATTTGGTGAAAGTTCTTGAACAAAACCTCAGGTAACTGTTAATCCTATTGTCTCCCAGCTGTTCATTTTATATTCGTGCAAAATGCGTAAGAAAAAACAGTAATATCCTCCCAAAGATGAACGAAAATGAAGATAGCAGTATAGACTACATAGAAGATCCTTACTTTAACCCACAAGACAGTTCACAAACTCCAAGTTTGGATGAGTTGGACAATTCAGATACAGAGTTGGATGTTTATGACCTATTGGATATAGATAATTTGAAGCTGTTGGATTTTGACGAGGTGGCTTACAGTTCCCTGTCAGACGAATCAGTGAATGTAGAGACTGAGTTTGTTAGTGTGAAAAGGGCAAACGTGATTATAAGTGCCTTCTTCAAGAATAAGTTTAAGCGACACGTACGGGTAACTTATAGTGATCTTACAAAGCCTTATATTGCCAAATTGCCTAAAGATAGTAATTTCAGAAAGTTCCTAGATATTAGCCACAACGGTAAGTCTTAACTCTTCAAACAAATAGTGTAACACTACTCAATTTGTTCAGAGCATGCAATATACAACTATCTTTAGAGTTTTTTTTATTTTTATCAGAACCTTATGTAAAACTAAATCCCTCTGCCAATAGTTTGAAACACTACACATATTCATCATTTCACAAACCAATTTTACACCTCAGGTATGTTTCATATGGTTTCCACTATTTTATGTATTCCTCAAAGTTGTGGTTGTCTGATATCCCTGCTCTAACTTCACTTTGTGATGCAGGAAACTACAGATAATAAAATTACAAATATTGCAGATGTCCCATGATTAGAAGTATAGAAGTACAAAGTCAAAAATTGAAATTAAGTCTTAGTATAACTACAAAAATTACCTATAACCATAGGCCATATCAATTGTTGATTTGAAATATTACAGTCAACTCTCATAATAATTGCAAAGTATTAAGGATGGGAAAATAGCCTTCCTGCTTAAAATACATACAATTGGTATAATGCATTGAAGTTTCCCATACATCTATTTTCATCTTGTATGAACCTAACATTGCTATAGAAGTAAATCTGTTCCCATAGTGTGTGTTGAGTTTGGCATTGAAATTAATTGTCCAACAAAATTTATTAAGTAAAGATACTGAAATTTGTTTTAAAGTAATCATTGTGTTTGTGTCAGTTTCTTACTGATAAAAATAATAGTGGGTGATTCACGTTTGGAAAAATGCTGGGTAAGCACTGTTTTTACATGTTTTATTTTGACACTGCACCTTATCATTACATTTAATCCACTTAAGAACCACTTCTAAAGTGTCTGATTTTGTCTTATGGCTACATTTTTTGAAACTTTGTAATGTAGCAGGGGTAAAGAATATAATATACTAAGTGACAAAGAAAAAAGAATACTAGTAATAATGAATTCATTACAAAAAATTTTTATATACATGTCTGTTAGGATTAGGTCAGTATTGATCAAAATTTCAGAAAAATCCAACCATGGACAAAATGTAAAAAATCAATGATGTGTTGGGCCTCCATGATGTCTTTTAGACTTGGAAACATGTCTGGGCTTAATCAGATGCTCTATTTTCCCTAGAGGTATCTTATCCCAGGCTGCTTGTACCTCATGCCAAAGGGCTACTGGTGTTTGTGAGTAATGCTTTAAATGGAGTAATATGCTTCCCATAATGTCCCAGACATGTACAGTGGGTGAAAGTCTGGGATATCCATGGGCAAAGGCAACAAATTTACTTGATTGTCTTCAAAATGGGCCAATGTAATTTTGCCTCTCATCTCCCTTCTCTCTCTTGCATAGCCATCATGCATCACTGAAAACAATCTGGATCCATCACTAAAGATGATGGTATTCCATTTAAAGTCCCAGTTCAGCCTTTCTCTGTATCAAGCATCAATCACTTTGGTGCCTAGGAGTGAGAGGTAGAACAAACTGGGGGTGGTATGAAGTAAATCCAAAACTGTTGATCCAGTGATAAACAATTCACATTTTAATAGGCTTTCCATCCTCTCCAAACTGTTGGTCTGTAATCAACCTTTTGGATGAGAAGCAGTCCCATAAAGATAAAAACTTAAGCTGGCATCCTTGGTGTGGGGCAGTTCTTCTCACATGCCCTGTATCTCTAACTCTGTGTATAGCCTTTCTGATTCCATGTCAACATACCATCACCATATTTAAACTTCTGTCCACCCTGGTGGCTATTTCTCTTCACAACATATTGTATGATGATCAAATGCCAATTGTAGCTACAAACACAACTATTATATTTTTTTACTCACTTTCAGATATCTTTAATATCAGGTGTAAAATTTTATTTTTTGAGCATACTGTTATAGGTTGTTCACAGTTTACACAATGTGGTTATGAAATCTTGATACTAAATTATATGTTATTGTACCAAATTGTATAAAAAACTTATCTTTATTGCACTGACGTGAGTATAATCAATTTAATTATTGTGTATGTAATGGTCACTTTATTGTGATAGGAAGGTCAAGATCTATAACAATTTTAGTGGAGTTTCTAATAATATTACACTGGAAAAAGACTCTTCAAAAGCATGGATTAATCAGTGGCATACCTGAGAAATTAAGGTCTTTCCATAAAACTGTTAAATGGGTGATACATAGGAAATTGATTGTAAGTTCATTGCTTAGAAGTGGTGTTTGTAATATGAGTAGAGGCCCTTGAAGGTCGAGATCTTTTCATGAGGAGCCTGTGGCCTCTTTTAAGTAAACATATAGGAATTAGTTGAAAGTGCAATTTCGATTAAGGATTCCTTATATTGATTTCAAGCAAATGAAAAAAAAACTGTACCATTGACATATTCCACTTCCACCATAGGTGCTATTGGGAAAGAAGGAAGCAAAGTGAAACCTGATTTTCCCAAATAAAATTTCCGAATGTCACACATATATCAAGTGCTTGAGCTTGCTTCTTTCTATTTTCCGTCTGGTAATGGAAATCTCACTAGGATGTGTCCCTCACTTGCATCATTCTATTAGTTGTTGATTTGCCACCCCTATGGCCTTATCATGTAGGTATGATGTTTGACATCATGATGATTAGTCAGTAGATTTGTTGACAGTCACATCTGATTTATGTGTAAACTAATTCTAAAGATAGATTGGATAGAATGGATTAGTCCATTTTCTTGTAGGAAATTTTTGGAGATGTTTATATTACAATTCTGCTTGCAGCTGAGCCAAAAGTAGCCATTTGATTACCCTCTCTCCCTTTCATTACCATATTTTTCCATGTGCCCAACTTTAGGAAATACAATAACTTGTTTTGCAAGCTTCTATTTCCACCTTCTGGACTCAGAGGCCTTTCTCAAGCTCAGGCTCATCTATAAACCCTTGACAAAACATTTATTATATTACTATGTGGTAGGTAAAAACAAGTCACTTCACGCGACTCCCTCTCTTCCAGAAGAAGCAATGGCCGCCGGAGACCACCAAGCCCCCGACCTCTCCCACCTCACTGAAGAGGAAAAGGAGCACCAGGAGAAGTTGTGGAAGGAAGAACTGGTTCAGGTCGAAGACGAGATAGCCACGTTGAGGACGGTACTAGCGTCGAAGATGAGACGTAGCGCAGAGTTGAAGAGGAACCTTGGCATCACTGTGTGGAAAGAAGTGTCCGAGGATATCAACCAAGGCATTAAGAATGTCAAGGAGAGTAATGTGTAAGTTATAATATGGGAACAAGTTAGGGTTGATCAAAGGAGTATATTCTTTTTGATGTAAAATTTTAGCAGCATGCTGTCAGGCTTTACTACTAGAGTTAGATCAGAGATCCAATTGATGAAATATGTGATGTTCGATCCTGTTGGCGTAGCGACTATGACTTCTACAGTTTTACCACTTGCCAAACAGGTTTTTTAATATCACTATTAACATCTTCAGGGTAAGATTGAAACTGCTTTAATGCTCCCTTGAGGATGTTAACATTGTTAGTGAAACACGTGTCGAGTATTAAAGAACTGCTTTGGCGAGTGCCAAAACTCTGAAGTCATTCTATTGACACAAGCGCTTTTGTCATTTCATGCACTAGTGCCATTTATTTAAGCTTGAAGAAGTGAACATTTGCAATGCCGCTGCGAATGGGTAGATATGGATTCAAGCGATCAATTTTGTGCATCAATCTCGGACCCACAACATTTTGTTTGTGCCATGGGTAAATTGGTTGTGTAGATTCTATATTCATATCAGTTTGATGCTAGAATCCCCGGGAAGTCACAACCTACCGACTTTGATACAAACTTTGTTCCTCAAATTTGGACCCAAGTCTTTCCACGATTTTTTGACAGTCGTGTTGGATTCCAAATTACCTAACTACACTTAGTTTCATTCCTTTGTAATGACCGAGGGCGAAAATTGAAAGACGTATTTTGAATTTCTCGAAGAGAATGTTTCGTAAATTACTCGCGTTTATGTAGAAGAATCGATACTTGGAAAATACATTTTTCCATAGTACCGCAATACCCTCTCATACAGTATATTATGTAGTGTAGTCCATGGAATATGTAGTTAAACCATTGGTAATCTTTATTAGAGGAAAGTAGAGAAGTATGCAGGTTTTTGCGATTTTCAGTTATAGCTTGATTTGCTTGAATGATTCAAATTGATTTAATTCGTGAGATATATAGGTGTGTAGTTCTTATTATAATTTTTTGCATGATTTTCATCTAGATATCAGACAGTCGAAAGTAAAGTTGGCCAGGTTACAAAAGCTGTCACTGATGCTCCAATGTAAGTATTGCTGTTTTTATTGCTTGATAAAAATATATTGTTAGCCATATTATGTTAATCATTGAGTTATCATATCAAGACTGCATTGTCACCTGTTTTCACGTGAATTGACAAATCACTGTTCTAGATAGTCCATCAGCTGGAACATAATTCTATTTACTCATGACTCATAACAATCTTAAAAAATGTCTCATTGACAGAATCAAGCATGGGTCATTACTTTTGTGTTAACCAGGAAAAATGAAATTGTTTGGAAGTTAAATGGAAGTTACATTATGATTCTTACTGAATTTGTTTATTAATTATTATATATATTATTTTTTAGATACCAGAGGACCACCTCTTTGATAGGTGGTATCACAGGAAACATTACCAACAAAATCGGACAGATGAGGCATTCAGAATCATTCCGTTCAATTGAGGAAAGAGTTGGAAGCGCCTATGAAAATGTTAAGGTAAATAATATAAGAAACCTAAAACATTTTGCAACAGTGAATAAGCTCTGTATATTTCGTATTTTGGTGGTTTTTGACAATTCAAAACATTTTTGTCGTAACATTTTTTCCAGCAAAACTTACATGTAAATATTGACAAGAGCTACCCAAAAAGGCAAATTAATAACAAGAATCTGTTTTTTTTTTATGATGAGTCACAATTTTCGTAAACGTCCGACTGTATGTTGTGAGCTTCTCTAGTTTCTAAACATTCTCTAAGTGGGTTCAAAATTATTAAAACATTGATCTGTTTCTTGTATGACATTTTTAACTATTTCTTAAATCCATAAAAATGAGCGCATTCAGCCAACATAAAGTGATGTAGCAATGCAGCTCTTTTATGCTGTAGTTGCTGTGGAATAGCTTTGTTAGTATGGGACATTCAATGAACAATTTTTCAAATCTGACAGCCAAGTGAAATCCTCTGTCAAACTGCCAAAGCCTCTCTATTTGTCATTGTCTGTCAGAGCGGTCCGTAGGGCATTTGCTTTTGGTTAAAGTCCTGTAAGTCAGTAGGTCTGTCAGGTCTGGTTGCCCATATCCCAGACAAAGTCGGAGAGAGACAAGGGAAGAAGAAAGAAAGAAAGGAAGGAGGGAGAGGATGAAAAAGAAGTGCGTCAATTTGAGGGCTGCATTGGCATTGTTATTATTATTGTTATTGTTATTTGGCAATTTTAAATTGATCCTAAAAATAATTTAGAGATTGGTTGTTGAAGAAACATTATAATTTTGGTTAGACCTAAAGTCGCACGATTTAATTTTGTGCACAGTGCGAGTCGCGGCCTTGTGTGCTTGCGACCTTGCTCGACTGTCTCGTCTACTGACTTGCGTAACAAAGGGTTGCTATGCGATTCCGCTTGACTATAACGTAGCTGCGCTTGTTGTTTGATGTAGTCCCTTAGGTAAGGAATGTCAAGGTCTCTGTGAAGGGTCTCATTGGAGACATACCATGGGACGTTAGTGATTGTATGCAAGGTGCTGTTCTGCAAAACCTGCAGGCTACACAAATGCGTTTTGGCGAGAAAACACCAAGCCGCACTTGTGTAAGTGATCGCTGGTCTAATAACCATCTTGTATAGCCGAACTTCGTTGATCAAACCTAATTTTGATGTTCTACATAGCATACGGTAGAGTTGCCCAAACGAGATTTGGAATTTAGTTTTTAACGCTTCAGTCTGCTTCTGCCAGGTCATCCCCTTGTCAACAGTGACACCGAGATACTTAGCAGAACTTTCCCGTGGTTACTGTCAAAGCCATCCCATGGCTTAAAAGCTTAATGCGCTCGATGTTTCAATTGTCCAGATTTTTTATGTGTTTGTAACTCGTAATTGTATCGATCTTTTTCTAGACTAAAGTGGTGTCCCGTTCAAATTCTCAGCAAAGTTTGGACGAGGCAGCCAGGTCCAGATCCAGCTCAGTGGTGACAAGTCCCACTATTCCTGAAGAGAAACCAGTGGCGTAACTCTGGCATAGTGTCGACCGTAAATGCCTTCTTAACTTGTTCTTAAAACTACTTATAATTTATAAATTATTACTTTATAGATAACTCAATCTATAACTGAACAGTACTGTATGTCCTTGCAAAGTTAGTTTGTACCTCCGTCCTTTTGAAAGTTTCCCTGCTTTATAGATTATTTTCTACAAGGAAATGACATCTACTGCATTTGGTGCCTCTTAATTTGTTAGCAAAGCATACGCACTGTACATGAACTGAATTCTATTGACGCTTTTGAGTTTTTAATGCATTTTCCCTAAACACTAGCCTAACTTCCAATAGCAACCTATAATGACTGTAATAGTTTTGTATTTTGCAAAATTCTTGATTACAGTCCGTAATAGAGGGCATACAGTACGACTGAACCATGGTGAGGTGAAGTGGGATATAGATCTAGTTTCTATTGCTTATTTCAAATATTTCTAAAAGACTATCCGTAGTTCAGTAGTTTTTGTACAGTTAGTTTAGTTTTATCAGACTTCAGAGATGATGTAAGTACTATTCAGAAAAAATGTTATTTTTACTTAATATTTGCTTTGAGGAATGATCCATCGTACCCTTAAGTCATCTAATGACATCTGTCATACTGTAGTAGATGATATAGTGGAATATTGTTGGGATAGTGGTGAATTGAAGATTATAGTATATGTAAGCTATTTTTACATTACACCAAAATGGCTTTATGAAACCAATTTGTTTCCACAGATATTATTGTCTTGGAAGAAAATAATAAATAAACGTACGTATATGTTTATTTGTTGTTTTACTTTTGTTTCCTCAAACACTTTCCGCGACATCTTAGCAATTATTCTATGACGTGATGCAGGGTGTCTTAGAATAAGACGACAATCTCGGCAAATAATGCCACCCGTTCCTATAAAAAAATATCCTCGGGGCTTCCCTACTGATGTGCTGGCCCCCAGAAGGACGCTAATGGAAATCCGCTTATCTCAAATAATTTTTGTACATTTTATTATGTATATGTAATTCAACAAATTTTTGCTAGTATCCCGAAAGGTTTATTATGTATTTGAATGTTGAATTAAAACTGTGTAATAAAAGTTCAATCAAAGCCATTTGGTTTTTAAATAAGTTTTAAGGTTGTAAGAAACTCACCTTTAGCACTGAAAGTGGTCAGTAAAAAAAAATAAGAAACTTTATAAAATATGATTATCCTGAGCAACTGATAAAACTAGTTTAAATACATTTTACATTAAATGTATACTTTTAGAGTTAGTTTGCCTTATTGCTAACATAAACGTTAAATGAGAATGGTTCTTTAAAACAATACATTCATTTCTTATTACATAAAAGCAGTTTAAAGATGTTAATAACGGCCAACAAATTTTTATATGTATCGTATCATAAAGGTACGTAACTATATCTAGAAAGTATTGAAAAGAAGTTAATTTGAACTGTCAAGGTACTGTCTTAAAAACTCCGGGGCCTCAACATTTCAAAAGTTTGGCATATCATGAACAAAAAAAAAATGTAAACGTAAAAAACATCAGTTAGTAATTTTAGATGCCGCATTTGTGCCAGTCCAGTTAGGCGGTCTTCTGCTATAGAGGCTCGTCCTGAAGCTCCTGTTATCGATACACTAACTGGTGATGTTGCAAGGATACATAAGAAAGTTTTTAATGTTGAGATACATTTCGGCATCGCAATTTTCGATAAGAGGAATCGACCGCAGAATATTCTGCACTCGCTGTCAATTTGCCATCCACAGCCGATATTCATTCACAATTATTGGAACTTGGCGTATTATTGTCTAAGAGCCGTTGGTACTCGATTGCGAGATTGCTGGTTGCTTAAGGGTTTATAGATCTTCTCTAGTATAAGTGACTGTTGGAATAAAAATACCTATCTTAAATAAAGTAAGTATCTGTGGATAGTCGCTCCTGAAGGTCAGTGATTACATTGTCTAGAAGGGGTATGTACACAGCCCACCAGAGGTACCATCTCTTTTTAATGAAATGAAACCGCCTGTCCCGGATTTTGTCTGTCAAAAAGTATTTTTGTCAAATTTGACCGCAGTGTTAAAGGTCCGCGCGAAAATGTTCTTTCTTATGCTCCTGTGCGAATGTCTGAATTTTACTACCTTAATCACAGAACACATGACGCTCAATTTCCAATAATGCACTAACGGGCATGCATTGCTACCTAGCCGTTAAACGAAGATTCACTAGTTTATTTAAAATTGCGTCAAGCCGAACCTATAGGCAACCAGACTTACGCGATCCCCTCCTGGAGGAGATAAAAGCAAGGTGGCATTGGAATTAAAACCGTTTACTTTGAATGCGACTGTGATAAATGCCGCTCGGTTTTGATTTACCTACCTTTAACTTTAAAATCGACGAGTGTTTATCTTCTTCCATAAAACTTACAAATACAGCTTTATTTATTGACTTCTTTCAAAGTAATTTCCACCACATTCAACACACTTCTCCATCCGCCAAAACCAGTCCTTCAACCAGCTATGCCAAGTTTCTCCCGGAAGTGCGGCACCGTTGTCCTTTTAGTTTCATTTTCACCTGCGGAAACAGTGCAAAGTCGCGGGGAGCCTTTGTTTTGAGCCTTGGTGGGCACATCGTAAAAATAGAGCCAAATCTCGGTACCTGTCACGATGCTGTTCACATACCGAGATTGCCGCTTATCAAACATTTTCAGCATCTTTCGGCATCAAGCCGTACGACGAGTCTTCTGCTCTTCCCTCAGACTATGCGGCACCCAGAGAGAACAAAGTTTCCTTACGTGTAAATGGTTATGTAGACTTGAATGTATTGTTGGCGCATGATGGGGTGTAAGGTCGCCTCTTACCTATTGGTATGTCACCTTCCGGTCTTCGTCAAGCATTTTCCTCACAGCAGTAATGTTTTCCTCTGTTACTGACGTTCGCGGCCTTCATTCCCTCTCAGCGTCCTTCAGAGTGAAATTGCCCCTTTGAAATTCTCTGTATCACCTGAATATACTCGTACTCCTAAGATGAGGATAATTTTTCTTTAATGCAAGCGTCATTTCTTCTTAGCACTGGTATATCCCTTGTGTGAGCGCTGCGGGGTAGAGGAAGAGACCTCGGCGCACGTTTTGTGTCACTGTGAAGCCCTGAGCTACTATAGGCAGACTATACTGGGGTCCATTACTTTTGACCCACAGGACTTCAAGGAGGTTGGTCTCAAGGCGATTCTCAATTTCGCTAAAAGGGCGAGGCTTGTGATCTAAGGAATGTAGAGGTGCATAAGGGCCCGTTTAAGCGGCTTATGCACTGGCGCTCCTTATGGTGACCGGAATGCCTCTAATTTCAGATTCATTCATTCGGTATATGCTTGAACCACACGTAAAGTTATACCGTAAAACTTATCACACTACGTGACCACGATGCCATAGTCCGCATTTTCCACTGTCAATATGAATGAACAAGTAAATCAACAGACGTGCTGCTGGCGGCCACTATGCACTCATGGACACGTCTAAACATGCAGTAACATGCAGCCTCTTGCGTCCGTTTGTTAAGTCATATTATAAAACTTTTATAGTACCCTTTGTACTTTGTACAGTTTTTCTAATCGTTTTGAACGATAAAATTGCTAAAACTAACTACACTACGCCACTGTTTCATTCTAAACAAAATTCGGTGTTCATTTTATACATGCAAGAAGAGGGGATGGGATTCGTTTTATTGTTTCTGAGAGGTATAGTTAGTCTTTACGATAACCAAATTCATTAAGAGCGTTCAATTTCCATATAGCCAGCTAATTGCATTTAATAAAGCAGTTCTAAAGAAAGCTGAAGAAATAGGTTTAAGCATGTTTTTTACTGTTTTAAGATCAAGTAAATTTAATAGTGGGTTTTATTATTCATATATTAGGACAGCGTTTAAAACTGCTTAAAAAATACGTCACGTACTAAAACGTAATAAAACTGAACAGCCCGGAAGTTCTTCTTAATTCGGAATAGTTTTGGAGTTAATTGAGATTAAACCATCTTAAAACTACAAAAAGGAAAATACACTTTTAAAATTGATTGATAATCTCATTAGATTCTTTAAAACCAGTATTAAATGCTAAACAGTGTTTTAGTTCTAACAGTAGATCTACAAAGTATCTCTCAAACTGTTTTATCCTCAAATAAAGCTAAAATCCTTTTACTTTGCTACGGGTAGTAAGCAATTGGAGTCCAACACGGTAATGCTAATAGATGAGTATTAAGTCGTTTAGATCATCAGGAACGGACGCCATATTTAGACCTTTTCACATCCTGTTTAATGATGCAATGATGGCTCAATGAAGACATTCGTGGAAAGATTGGTCTCTAAGGCCCGTATCGTCAGTCGTCCCTACAATTGTAGGGCGCCTTTATGGCCTCCTTGATTGTCATAGTTTTCTACTTCTCCGTGTCAGAACTCTATTTTGAGGTTATGTCACAAACATCTATTTGCATCAAATTGTGCTTGCTTTTGAGTTATATCATGTTTTATCAGCCTGAAATTTTCCTACAATTTAAAAAGAAAACATATCTTCACAATAGGAGAGCGCTGACGCTGACACGGGACAAGTGTAATCAAGAAATTTTTATTTTTAAACTTATTAATGTTGCGAATTGTCAAAGCTATCCCATAGATACTATTATTCAGCATAAAATCGCTGCACCGCTAGACTGCTTTTCGATGACTGAACGCTCCCATCACAATTTGTTTATCTGTCTTCTAAGTGATAGTTTATTGATTCTTTTTATTTTCTTCATTACTATACAGTGCGTTGCGGCAAGAGATTCAGCGGTCCTGTACGATGTCAAGATCACGGGAAAACAGTATTACAATTTTATGATGGCACCGCGTAAAACCAGAGAAGCCCACAATCGCCTGGGGTAGACATTCCCCAGGGATCCTCAGCTAGGCTGGTTTTGCGTGGTGCCATTTTTAAATTTGGAAGGATGGCTTCGCACGGTCTCGCTACAGGACAGTTCAACCTATTGTCGCAACATACTGTATAGGAATGAAAAGAAATAAAAAATAAACGAACTGTCGCCTGGAAGTCCGGTAAACAAAAGTATAGGTATTGTCATTCATTGCCACTATATACTTTAAAAAAGGCCATAGTGGTGACCGAAACGTCGTTCAGTACAGTAATTGAAACATATGTGGTTTGGTTTAGCGGCCAGATAAGGGCTTCCTAAAAACACGTTTATTTCAATATAATTCCATCATTTTTGCTACCAGTATACTGGAAAATATAGCTATTCTATACACCGAGGCGCTTGACTGGAGAAGATGAAGGTAAACCATGACGAGGATAGGAAAACCGCTCTCAACTGTATATTCTGGAAACTTTTCGTTACCTGTAATAAGTTTTGCAATTTTCTTAAGTAACTAGAAGTAGTAGTAGTAGTAGAGGTGTAGAGGTGAAGCCTGGAAATTGGGCTATACCTTTGACCCATTTTCCGGACTCGTTCCTAACTAAACTATTCGGTTTAATTAAACTTAATTTTCTGGAACCAGATTAATAGAAAGTAATATATCATTAAACTAATTTGCATGAAAATAGCAAACCATGTACCTGTTTAATTGAAGTGTTCGATTAGTTTAAGTAATTTAGCTTATGTAGAAAAGATACATTCAAAACAATTAAACATTATCTAACTCGGCCGTTCATTCGCGAATGATCGGATATTGCCACAGTTGGTGAGTAGCTGTGTAGTGGATCAATTATGGTGATCAAATAAAATACTCGAGCATCTAGTAACTCATAACCATGTTCGGAATATTTATCGCTCCCAATGAAACACTCTATATACGGGATTCACTGCTGACGTGACGGAATGGGGAGAACTCTGAAATTCAATCTATGCAGCCATCAATGAAATACATTTATACCAAACATGGGCTTAATATAGGACTTTTTCTTTTATATTGTATATCGGTTGGTACAGACTTTCTGGTATTTGAAAATATCCAAGTTTCGGGAAACTGATGTCGAATTTATTTATATATGTAAATGCGTTGAATGCGAGCGAGTGCAATATTTTGTTTTATTATTACAAATAAAAGTACAATTTTTGAACACATGATCAGGCACTT